AGGCATATGTGTGCACCCGGGTGTCAGGCAGGGGTCTGTGCACACATGCAGGCGGGTGCCAATGTGGTGACCTATGTGGGTGTATGTATATTCCCAGAGGTAGTCGATGACTGCAGGTGTTTGCCAGTGACTTTAAACTATGGTGTGTAGAACCTGACAGAGAGGCTGTGGCCTGACGCAGCCACTGGAGCTGCAGGAACGCGCCACACCACCTCTGCACCTGCCCAGCCCTGGTAAGGCGCCTGCTGCTCTTGATACTCTGTCCAATGGGGATGTCTCTCCAGGAAACCAGCCTCAGAGTTTCCCTGCTGAAACTTGAAGGGAGCTGGCAGCTCACGTTCCCCTGAACCCACAACATTCTCTAGTCACAGTCAGACTGAGGCAAGACTTCTATCTGAGTTCCCAGGACTAGGGCAGAGCTCTCCTTGCTGCAGAACAGGCCCCTCAGTCCCTGAGGTAGTGCCCAGAGCTCTGGGCCCTGTGTTTTTCTGTTTTGTTTTTTGGGGCCTGTGTTTATAGGAGTAAGAGGAAAGAGTCCCCCAGGCCGCCCTGCCTGGACCTCACGGGGTGGTGGAGGCCCAGGGAGACCCAGAGAGACTCTGTATCAGGAAGGATTGTGTGACCCTTCAAATGGCCTGACAGCAAAAAGAACAGAAGAAAAGTCTGTCTAAGGGCGTAATGCGCTTTCCATCCCTAGAGGCGTGCAAACTGAAGCAGGAAGAAGCTAGGTGTCGGAGTGGGAGGGGATTTCTGCCCGGGAATGGTTTGGATTCAGTGGCCTGCGAGCACATGTGTCCACATTTGTTCCCCTAATGCGTAGCACAATGCCTGGCGTGTGGTAGGAAGGTAATCAGTTCTTGATTTTGAAACAAATAAACGTGAGGGAACTAGGGGAAGGCAACTGTGTCCTGTAAGGAGGCACTGACAGGCATTGGTGCTCAGCCCAGACTCCGGCTTGGGCAGTGCTTCCCACGGGGTAAGTGACATCATGCTAAGTGCCCAAAACACTAAGGAAAGGCTAAGTCATGCTCCTTAGCTAGTGATAAGGGCATGTGGGGGTCCTGGGGAAAAGACTTCCATCTAGTGTGATGAAAGAACCACCAACATTTGGCGTTTAACAGAAGCAAACACCTGCTCTGAGCATGGTGCAGCTGTCATGCTGTTGGGAGGACTGGATTCTACACTCACTGAGCCAGGGACCCACTGTCTGGCCTCAGTTTCCTACCTTCACAATGGGAGATCCAGCGAGTTGACCTCTCAGGATGTTTTCCACACTGATGCCTAGGAGTTCATGAAGCCAAAGCAGCCCTGGCTCAGTTTCAGAGAAAATGGGAGGTTTGGAGCAGAGCCAAAAGGTCCATCCAATTTTAGCCCAAAAAACACATGACGAAGGCAGATTCTGAAGGTGCGTCCGCACGCAGTAGCTGATGAAGCAGGCCCTGTGGGAGGACAGGTGGAAGAGCCTCCTGATAGGCTCAGAGGCCAGGAGCCCCTCCAATGCGTGCTCCGTGCGTGGAGACCGAAGCTGACCTGCAGAGACAAGATTTCTACAGGCTGAGGGATAACGGAGAGGGCATTCCCAACAGTGGGAATGGCGTAAACCAGTTCAGAGGATTCCTTAAAGCTGAGAGGGCCCTCAGAGACCATCTAGCCCAGTAATTCTCAAAGAGTGGTGTCTTGACCAACAGCACAAGCATCACTCAGACCTACTGAATTAGAGACTCTAGGGGTGGAGCCCAATAATCTGTTTCAACTAACTTTCCCGTTGATTCTGGTGCATGTTAAGATTTGAGGACCTCTGATCCAGCCCACTGTTTCCCAAACTATGTTGGTGGAATACTTCTCTGCAGGAGGCTGATGGGTGCTCTGTAAAAGGAGAATCTATAGTCAAAGAAGTTTGGGAATTACATGCTCTATACTGGTTTTGGAAAGTCACAAGTCACACTGGTATATTAAAGGCTCTGAGAAGTCCTGCAGTAAAGAGCTTTATTTAATTTTGATTAACCCAGTGTTATCTCAAACTGATTTTTCAGATTGCCTACTAACATTTCCATTAATCCTCTCTTAGAGAAATTCTGATCCAAATCAATCCTTTTTCATAGGGATGAATCATGGCCTAGAAGTATGGGGATTGCCCAAAGTCCCAGAGAGAGAGTGTGTGTCAGAGCTGGAAAAGACCCCAGCGATATGCCTCATCCCAAAAAAGACTCCGTGGGCTCCCCGCCACCCTGTACCTTCTTTCCCTGCATCCCCACTATGTGTCCCTCCAGAGTATGGAGCCAATCAATAGGACAGAGGTCTCTGAGTTCTTTCTCAAAGGATTTTCGGGCTACATGGCCCTGGAGCACCTGCTCTTCCCCCTGTGCTCAGCCATGTACCTGGTGACCCTGCTGGGGAACACAGCTATTGTGGCGGTGAGCATGCTGGATGTCCACCTGCACACACCCATGTACTTCTTCCTGGGCAACCTCTCCATCCTGGACATCTGCTACACGTCCACCTTTGTGCCTCTGATGCTGGTCCACCTCCTGTCGGCCCAGAAGACCATCTCCTTTATTGGTTGTGCCATCCAGATGTATCTGAGCCTGTCCACGGGCTCCACAGAGTGTCTGCTGCTCGCCATCATGGCCTACGATCGCTACCTGGCCATCTGCCGGCCGCTCAGGTACCCTATGCTCATGAGCCACCGGCTCTGCTTGTTGCTGGCGGGAGCCGCTGGGTGCTCTGTCTCTTCAAGTCAGTGACTGAGACAATCATCACCATGAGGCTGCCCTTCTGCAGCCACGTGGTCAGTCACTTCACCTGCGAGATCCTGGCAGTGCTGAAGCTGGCATGTGGTGACACGTCAGTCAGCGAGGTCCTCCTGCTGGTGGGTGCCATCCTGCTGCTGCCTGTGCCCCTGGCCTTCATCTGCCTGTCCTACACGCTTATTCTGGCCACCATCCTGAGGGTGCCCTCAGCTGCTGGCCGCCGCAAAGCCTTCTCCACCTGCTCAGCACACCTGGCGGTAGTGCTGCTTTTCTATGGCACCATCATCTTCATGTACATGAAACCCAAGAGCAAGGAGGCCAGCATCTTGGATGAGGTCTTCACAGTCCTCTACGCTGTGGTCACGCCAATGCTGAACCCTGTCATCTACAGCCTGAGGAACAAGGAGGTGAAGGAGGCCGCCAGGAAGGTGTGGGGCAGGAGACGGACCTCCAAGTGAGGGAGGCGGGGGCTCTGCAGCTTAGCAGGCAAGGCCTTCATTCACCTACAGTGAGGATAGGCTGGGGCGCAGGGCTGTGAGTCTGGAATCTTCATCTCAGCAAAGCAGCCCTGAGTCCCACTGATCCTGCCCCCTGGTGTGGCCCTAGGCCAGCTCTCAGCATCACTCCCTGCATCTTCACACCAGCCTCCTGGCTGGCCTCGAGAGTTCAGTCTTGTTCCTCCCAATCTATCCTCTGAGGGGCATTCAGAGGGATCTCTTTGAAAAGCACATGTGTTCATGTCATTCTGCTGACTGAAACCCCCGAGGGTCCCCCCAGCACTCTCAGGACAAAGTGTAAGCTTTCCCAGGGGACATTCAAGGCCATCACCGGCTGGCCCTGCTGGCCCTGACTAACCTCCCTTCCCACCCTCTGCCCACAGCCCCCCTCCTGTCAGCCACGCACACAGCCACACGTGAGCCTTGGTATTGCCCAGCCCTGCTCAGCTCAGTGCCTTCTTGGTTCTTCCCACAAGGCAGCCCCACCCAGCACCGAGCTCTGCACGTGAAAGGACTGCCTGACCCTTGAGCCCCGTCTTGAATGCCACCTCCACCAGGAAGCTTCCCCACTCTGTGCCTCTTGCCGTGCTCCTCCTGCTTTGTTTTCAGTGTCACTACAGGAACTAGGAGTGTTAGATTCCACTCTGTCCCAAGGTTCAGCCCTGCCCACCCAGGTGTCTTAGATAAATAAATGAGCACGTTGATGTAGGGGTGACAGTGGCAGAGCCTGGGTCCTTCTCAAATCTGAGCAGAGCCAAGATGGGGTTCACAGGTGACAGGCATGGTCTCATGCCCCTGGAAAGGAACAGCAGAGGCAGTGATAAGCCCCAGCATCCAAGATTCCCAGACCCATCCAGCCACCTGGACACCAATCTCCCCGAGCAGCCCAGGCACTGGATTCTTCTGTTTCCTTTCAGCAGAAGCAGCTTCTGGCGCCCCCTTGCCCATCATCCAGACCTCCCCTGGCTTTGGGGAGATGGCTCTACCCCTCCTCACCCCACCGCCTAGGACCCTGCTACAGCTGCCCCTTCCTGGTGCTCAGCCTCTTCCCAGCTTTCCTCCCTGAGAGCTCAGTGAACACATGGTGGACGTGGACTTGGATTCACAGAGCATCTCCACTCCCTGCTCCCCTTTAGCCTCAGTGGCACCGTCTGTATGATGGGAGACCTGGCTTGACCTCCCAGCGGTAGGCTGGCTCTCCTGCCCCCTGGCTGTAGGTAAGCACAGCCCTGGCTTGAGCCACCTGTTCCCCTCTAGTCCCTCCTTGGTCAGAACAGAGGCACAGAGGAGGGAAGCTCAGCCCCACAGCTCCCAGCCTGACCAAGCCAGGGTGGCTGCTGCTACGACGTTCTGCTGGGCCTCTGATGCCACAGCAGGATTTGGACTTTATCCTGTGAGCACTAGGGCTTTACAATCACACTTACTTCAAGGTCATTGATTAGGTGCCATTCTTCACCAATGAAGTTGGCGAAGAATTTTCTCTAATGTCTATTGTTAACTAAGGTGCAGTGAAGTAGGTACTGTCACACACTGCTGGCGGGGATGGGGATAAATATGTATGAACTTCCTGCAAAGTAAGCTGTAGGTCTGAATCAAGAGACTTCAAAACTTCAGACCCTTTGACCCAACACCTCCACTTCCAGGAATTAGTCTAAGAACATTATTAGAGCTGCAGTCAAAAATTTATGTATAAGACTATATATATATATATATATATATATATACACACACATATATATATATATACGGATAGTAATCATGGCATTATTTATGGTGACAAAAAAATTTCAGAATCATAACATCCAACCATAGAAGAATGCTTAAATAAATCCTGATGGAACCCCATGATAGAATGTGATACAACCATTAGAAATCTTATTTTTTGAAAAATACTTGATGATGAGAAATGTTCACACTGTAATTAATAGAAAAAAGCAGAATATATAACTTTATACTCAGTATAATCCCAGTTTTTAAGGTACTTTTCTTATAGATATACAAGTAAGTATGCATGCAGAAACTTTTGGAAAACGATGACAAATTATTAACTAACAGTTGTTTCCTCTGGGTGATGGGGTTACAGATAAATGTTTTCTTAATTATTCTTTCCAAAATTGTCCAATATTTCTAAAATGAACATGAATTTGAACTTAAAAAATACTGTTACCGTTCTGAGAAATGGAAGATGTAGAGCACAGATGAGTGGGGCCCCAGCCTGAGGGCAGGATGTGAGGAAGCTGGTGCCTTAACCAGGTGGGCAGTCAAGGGGAGAGGGTGGAGCTGAGAAATGCTGGGGATAGTGGAAGTGGCTGAGGGACAGAGGGGACTACAGGTTGCTGCCCAGGCTTCTGGCTAAATGGGTAGACAGTGCTCCACCCTCTGACAGGAGATGGGGATGATGACAGAAGCAGGCTGGAGGGGGTGAGAGGTGTGGTGATACTGTTTAGACACACTGATGTGTTTAAACAGAGGTGGCAAGAGGGAGCCATTCCTGAGCAGCTGGAACATAAGTGGTGACAACAGTCCAAAGTTTTACTTTGATCTGTGTGCTTGATCAAAAATTCCAAAAGACAAATCATAGTATAATGGGAAAATCTGCAACTGCTGCTGCTTTGTTTAAGGCTGTTCTTCAGTCCCTAAACTGTGTCAAGTTGTCCTTCTTTTATTGTGAAGGAAAGAGAAGGACATGGGAAGGGAAATGGAAAAGGAAACCTGCAGAAACACACGCACCTGGCTCAACCCCTGTCTTAATGGTCCCTCACAAGTGCTCTGGGTCCCCCCCTGTACAACAATCTGCTTTCCTTTACCTTCCACGAGTGCAGGTCCCAACAGCACTCCTGGGAGGAGACACCCATCTCACAGCCCAGGGCGCCCAGGCCTAAGGCAGGGGGTCACAACCCCTGAGCCTCAGGTCCCAGAGGCAGGACTGCAATGAGACCCAGTCTTCAGATTCTCGGTCCAATGTCTCTCCTGTGCCCGGCACACCCAACCAAGGCCCTCTTGGGGCAGCACAAGGAACCGGGGGTCTCTGAAGGCCCACAGCTGCCAAACCTGCAAACTTGTGCAGCTACAGAGTTTGAACTTTAAATTGGGTAAGGACTGTAAGGTCCCCGAGATCAGGGAGCAGGCGAGACATCTATGTGGCAGGGGACTGGGAGGCTGGTCCTCAGGGCCTTGGGCCTGGCCCATCCCAGCACAGTGAGTCTGCTGATAATGAACTCAGCACTGCCTCGCTCCACTCTCCCAGAGCCTTGAGCCTCTGGTAAATACTTACCACGTGCCCAGCTTCGTGCTAAGAGCTTTCTCTGAATCCTCCAAAGAAGCCCTTGAGGAAATAATATTCTTACCTCCACGTTACAGGTCAGGAAGCTGAGGCTGAGAAAACCGTTAGCAAATGGCTGGCCTGGGACTTGGGCCCTGGTTGGTCCGACTCCAGAGCCCACACTCACCTGCTCTGCTAACACAGCAGGGGTGTGTGAAGCAGGAACCCCAGGTCCAGGCATTCTGGGGAAATTTTAACAGGAGCCTTCTTCTTTTTGTCCCCTTACTTTTCTTTTAAAACAATTTGTGACATCTAAAATAAGTATTCAGTGGTTCAAACTAGATTTACCAGCCAATGAAACTGATAAGATATTTCCCTTGCAAAGTGGCCCTGGGTCTATCTGACCTCAGGATTGGAAGTTGCTGGAAAGATGTGAGGGAATGTTTTAGTGGTTGTGCAGAATACAAGAGACCACCTAATTGAATGGCTCCATTTCACACAAGGAGAAACCTGACCATATAGCAGAATCGGAACAAAGGCAAGAATCCAACCTAGACCCTTCACTCCCGGTCCAGGGCTCCTTCCATCCCATCCCCTGCCTCTCAGGAGGTATAAAACAGGGGAGGGGATTAGACAGTGATTCTCAGAGACACTCAATTTCCTATCACTCTGTGAACTAGATTTTCCAGGGCACGACAAAGGGTGAGACGCAGGCAGATAGATGCTAGAGTGGTTTTCTGAGTGTACTGTGAAATGCCATCATACCCAACTGCGCAGCAGTATTTCTGGTCCTCCTCTTTCTGGGCATGTGGTAGGGCTACACAGGCCAGTGGGTTGTGGGCAGATGGGTCACATGTCACTTCTGGGTTGGAGCAATTAACTGCTGTTGGAGATGCTCTAGTGTGTTCTTCTCCAGCCATAACAGCTTGTGATGTCCCAGATGGTGAAGCCAGGCTCTCTGAGTCCCTGAAAACGTACAATGGTCAGGTAGCATGAGAAACAAACCTTTCTCATGGTCACTAAAATTATGAGGTTGTATGTTATTGCAGCAAAACCTAGCTCATCTTAACTGATGGACCAAGGGAACAGCAGCTGCTCTCTGATGACCCCTGATGTCCCAACACAGGGGTTCATGTTGCAGTCAAAGCTGTCAGTAGCCTGGCCACATGGTATTTTCCAAACACAGCCTCATTTCTTTGCGGCCATAAGCCTACGGCCTTGTGAGCTATTCCTAATTTCTGTGAATGTGTTATGATCAGACTCTTACATTGTGAGGAAACCCACCACTCTCCTGATTTAGTTCTTCAGAGAAAGCAGCCACTCCTGCAGGTAGGAGCCTAGCACCCCCAAAGCTCTTCTTCCGGCAATCCTGTGGCTGCGTCACTCTGCTGTTGTGCGTGCATAGGGGGAGAGGAGGGAAGGTGATCCCAAGGTAAGATATTTGGGATGAGAATTTTGGACAGGAATATGACACTGGATCTCCAATAGTGCCTTCTGGGTGCAGGGACTGGAGGGTGTTAGGGATGAACTGGACACAGCTCTTTGATTTCCGTAGCTCAGGGTCTACTGTGAAAGAGAATGGCACACACAACAAACCGTGCAAACGGCTGGGTGAGCGTCATGTCAGGATGGTCAGTTCTGTGGAGGCATCTGAGAAGGCCCTGCAGAAGTTCCTGTGAGCTGAGCCTCAGGGGGTGAGTGGAAGAGAAAGGCCGCCCCAGTCTGAGGAAAGAGCACGAGAAGAGGGATGAGTCAGGAGCGTGTGGGGTTCGTCCATCAACGAGGCTGGAGCAGGCGTGTGTGAAGGGATGTACAAGGCGGTGAGGCAGGAGGGCAGGCCAGATCACCAAAGCCCTCAGATGCCTCTGCCATTTCCACCTGGTCTTCTTTTGAAGACAAAGGTAGGAAAGGGAAAAGCAGTCAGGGGGTTTCCCACCTTCTACCTGCCTGAAAACACCCCCACACCGGAGCCCAGCGTCAGAATTTAAGGTTAATGGGTCTTTTTGTAGCAACATACCCGACAAAGACCAAGCCCTTATCACTGATTCTGAAATGAAACTGGTGGCTTGTTGAAGCCACATGAAGTTATAATGCTGAAAAGATGCTTCCTTTCAACTTCTTTTCGGACCCGGGTTTTACTTTGTCTTTACACCCCAGATTCAAAGAGAACTTCAGAGGTTTCTAAAGCCCAGAGAGAGGAAGGGATGTATCCAAGGTCACCAAGAGAATGAGGGAGGGAGTGTAAACTGTTAGGGCAGAAGCTGCCCCTGCCTCTGCTCTCTTCCCAGCACATAGCACATAGCAGGTTTTCAGTAACAATTGGCTGAATGAGCCATCACACTCAGGCAATTCTTTACTTTTTTTTGTCAGACCTCAGCAAGAGAATCCCTACCTTTAAATGTTTACATGGGTAAGATTTGTGGCCAACTGCTGACCCAGATTAATCAACTATCCCTGTATGTTCCAGAAACTCCCTTAACAATCACCCTGAATCAGGCTGGAGGAGGGAAAACCAGCACAGACTCTGGGGGGAGGGGGTCATGACAGATGCTGGAGCTCCTGCCCGGGAGGTCTGGTGAGCACAAATCCAGCAGGTGCCTTGTGGCTGAAGACACAGTCTTCCATCTGGAGCCTCCACGCTGGGTGGCCCACCAGCACTTGTCTGTGTATGTTTCATCGGAGCTGCACAGCATCCCCATTTTTCAGAAGGAAACTGAGTCTCAGAGGCCAAGTGACTTGGTCAATATCACACAGCTAGTCAGTGCTGAAGCTGGGATGCAATACCGGGTGTTTGAGTTGCGTGCTGAATGCCTGTTGAGTGACTACCCTTGGCAGCCCTCACTGCATGAGGTGCAGGAAGGAAGGAGACAGAGTTCTGCTCTCAAGAGTGGTAGAGGAGACAGGTGCACAGCACAGGAACACGGAGGATGGCCAAGGGCTGTGGAAGTACAAGAAGGGAGCAGGTGACTCTGCAGGGGCAGGAGGGACAGGAGAGGAGAGATGGAGCTGCTCTCTGAAGGATGAGCAGGAACACCCCCACTGGGGAAGAGAGGGAGGACGTGCCTACAAAAGGGAACTTCTTGGGCAAAGATGTAGTGCTGAGGAAGCACACGGTTTATTCAGGAGAGGGTGAGCCCATCAGCCCCTACAAATGGTAGGTGTAATTTCAAGCAGAAGGAATAAGGAGAAAAAAAAATCCAGCCCTGAAGGAGGGACAGGGCTCCAAAGCGGTCACAGGACATTGGCCTCACAGTCAATCTCTGGGTGAAGGAAGGGGGTAATTATATATTCTGAAAGATCAGAGTTCACACTCAGCTCCTAATTCCCCTTAGACCAGGGGTCACCTGGGCCACAAGACAGCTTTCCCATCTAACACATGACACGTGGCTCCCTCCTGACACTGGCATTTCCCAAGGAGGCCGACACCAGCTCAGAAGAGCAATGAAAGCTACCTGGGTGAACCTGCAGCCTCTTCCCGCCCTCCCTTTATAAAACTAATCAGTGCCTGACAACGTCTCTGCCAGATTAGAAGCTGGCTTTCCCTCCTCGTGTGACATTGCCAATACTGTTCATACTAAAAAGCAATATGGAAGCCAAGAAGTGAGTGACTTGGCTTTCATAACCAGGGTTAAATGCTGTGGGACATGGGATATGTATGTTTTGTACGTTCTTTCAAAAATCAATGGATGGTCCGTGATTCCTTAAGGAGAGATGACGAGAAATCAGGCTTACACATCCTACGGAGTGGAAAGGTTTGAACTTTATGATCAAAGGAGCATTAGCTGAGCATTACTCATCACCCCCCTGCCTTCCAGAGCTCATCTCACCTAATTCAAGGAAGAAGAGCAGTACTGTGACAGGTGTGGCATCTTTTTGTTCCCTTTTCTTATTGCTCTAGTCCCAGCACATAAACAACACCTAGCACAGAGTAAGCATTCAACAAATATTCAGTGAATGAATAAATCTGAAATGCTCTGGGCATTATTCAACCATATGAAGTCATAACCTGGAAAAGATGCTTCCTCTTTAACAGTAAAGAATGCTTTGCATTCCAAAGGAGCATGTGAAACATGAATCCTATTCTACTGTCTCCCCTGAGCCCACCCTGGGGGTGAAGAGAGATGAGCCAAGGGGATTAGAATGGGCCCCATCTCCCATAAGTTTCATCAGAACCACAGAGCTGAGAGGGCCAGCTTGCAGATCTGAAGTCAGCTCCATTACACAGATGGTGAGACCACATTCCAGTAGGGCTGACCTGCCCCAGGTCACACATCCAGGGTGCTTGGCTCCCAGGCCAGCCAGTGCTTTTTCCAACACCTTTGTGGTGCAGGTGGGAAAGGAGGGAGAATGAGATGGAGGGGGCCAACCAGATGGCTATGACAGAGTATGTCCTGCTGGGGCTACACGAGCACCATAACCAAGAGGTGGTCCTGTTTGTGCTCTGCCTGGGCGTCTACTCCATGAACGTGCTGGGGAACTCCCTCCTTACTGGGCCGAATGTGCTGGACCCCCACCTGCGTAGCCCCATGTACTTCTTTCTCAGCAACCTCTCCCTCATAGATATCTGTGGCATGTCCTCCTTTGTGCCTCTCATGCTGGTCAACTTCCTGGAAACCCAAATGACCATCTCCTTCCCTGGCTGTGCCCTGCAGATGTACCTGACCCTGGCGCTGGGCTCCACCGAGTGCCTGCTCTTGGTTGTGATGGCGTACGACCGTTACGTGGCCATCTGCGGCCAATTCGGTACTCAGAGCTCATGAGCAGGCAGACGTGTACGTGGATGGCAGCACTGAGCTGGGGGACAGGCTTTGTCAACTCCCTGCTGCATTCCACTCTCACCTGGAGCCTCCCCTCCTGTGGCCACAATGTCATCAACCACTTCTTCTGTGAGATCTTGGCTGTGCTGAAACTAGCCTGTGGGGACTTCTCTCTCAATGTGCTGCTAATAATGGTGGCCACAGCTGTCCTGATGCTGGCCCCACTGCTGCTCATCTGCCTGTCCTACGTTTTCATCCTTGCTGCCATCCTTAGGGTGCCGTCCGCTGCCAGCCAGCGCAAAGCCTCCTCCACCTGCTCTGCCCACCTCACAGTGGTGGTAGTCTTCTATGGGACTCTCTCCTTCATGTAATTCAAGCCCAAGGCCAAGGACCCCAACTTGGACAAGAATATTGCATTGTTCTACGGGGCCGTGACGCCCTTCCTGAACCCCATCATCTATAGCCTGAGGAATGCAGAGGTGAAAGCTGCCACCAAAGCTCTGCTGAGGGGAGACCTGCTCTCCAGGAAAATGGCCCATTTCTCCTGCTGCTCTCCAACGCCCTCAGGCAGGACAGGCTAGGTTCTACAGTGGGCACAGCTTCAAAATCTCAGTGGCTTAAAACCACAAAGGTTTCCCTCTCCCTCATGCTGCAGGTCTGTGAGAGGTTGGCTGGGGGATCTGCTCTGCATCAGCGTGTTCATCCCTCTGGGACTCAAGATGATAAACAGCTACCGTGCAGCACATTGCTGGTCAAAATGACAAAAGGGAAAAAGAAAGTGACAAAGCCTGCACTGATTCTTAAAGCCTCCACTTAGAAGTGACAGGTTATTTCCACTCCCACCTCACTGGCCAACGCAAGGCATGAGGCCACGGCTAATACCAAGTGGGAGGGTTGCACGTGCCCACGCATCTGGAGGGAGGGGGAGGACTGAAGAATTTCAAAGAGCGTAATGACAGCCACAGTATCCTACAGCCAACCCAGGAGCTACTAGAGATTTCTAGAGCCTCCTTTTCTCTGGAGGTTTATCATCCCAGGAAAGCTCTGGTTGCTTACCTGTGGTGGCTCTGGATTGGTTGAGCTAACTTGGTTGGAACTGTGCCTCCCAGAGTTTCCTGCTCTGTGAAGTTCTGAGTTAGGCTGACCACAAGAGAAATCTGCATGAGATCTGAAAGGCAAAAGCCAAGCAGCCCGGACGCGGTGGAAGCGCTCACCTTTCTGTTAGTGCAGCCCCTCCTAGGGCTCCTGCATCTCCGCCTCCAGCTGCTCTGAGCCCTGCTCCATGTGCAGCTCCAGGGCAGAGAGTGTCAGCTCCTCCTGCAGGTCACAGTGTCACTGCGGTTGAAGGAAGGCAGGGAGGGCCAAGCACAGGTGCCAGCTTGTCCTCCTGGGGGGTAGTCTGTCCTCTCTGCCCCCTTTATGCCTGCCAGCCCAGATGACCAAGAGAGGCTTCAGATCCAATACCAAGGGCAGAGGCACAGCTCTGCACAGACTTCTCCAACTGCTCCCTCAATTTACAGGTCCGTTCTCCGCAACAACTCCCTTATATCACTCAGAGTGGTCCTGCTACTTTTTGGCCAAACCCTGGCCAAACTCTTCTGATCAAGAACATACCATGGCTACCTATTACTACAGTATGAAGCCCACATTCTTCAGCTGAGTCCTCAGGCCCTCTGGAACCTGGCCCCCCTGCTTCTTCAGCCTGATGCTCCACTAATCCCCTTCACACAGGCTGACCTCCTCACTACAGTATCTGTACTGCCCGTACCTCGGTGTCTTGCTCACACTGTTCTCTGGTGAGACCTCGGACTATTTTTCAAAGCCAGCTTAGACACCGTCTCTCCTACGCAGCATTTCCTGGAGCACTTTGAAGGAGTTCTCTTTCCTTTTCATCCAACAGCACTTCGTTGGAAACTTTTGCTCGGTATCCATTCCATTCTGCTTTGCATTCATGATATTTCACCACAATGTGGGCTCCTTGAGGGCAGGATTCAACCAGTCCAACTCATCTCTGCAGCTCCCACAGAGCTTTCCCTAGAGAGGGTTTACTGAACTGAACTGTCACTCAGAAACCCTCACATTGTCACATTTAGGATTGAATCCTGCACTACTGACCCTGCCCTAGGCAACTGTTGGCAGTCAGGGGTCTTAGTCTGATTGTGTGGACAGAAAAGAGCAGGGAAGCAGCAGTATCTGCTGGCCACAGCCCTGTATTCCAGGAAGTCACCAAACAAGCCAGGAAATAACAAATGACCCCATCTGGGGAGCCAGGAGTCCAGGGTTCTAGACCTGGTTTAGCTGCTTTGCCCAGTACAGTGTTCTGGCTGGCTCTCTCCCTCCAGGAATCCCACAGGCTCCTCCAACTCAAAATGTCCATAACTGAACTCATCATTCTGTCTCCCAAAGGTGTGATACCATCTCAGGGAATAGCACCAACACCCCCCAAGTCACCAAGCCAGAAACATGGCAGTCATCAGAGGCCGTCTCATCCCTCACTGACCCACACATCCAGTCAGTCACTAAGTCCTATGGATTCGACCTTGTAACAGCTTCTTGAGTCAGTCCCCTCCCTTCCACTGACATCACCTTAAGAAGCCTTCACTATTTCTCTCTCAAATAGAGCAACAGCTATGTCACTGCACTTTCATCCTCCAAACTCGCTCCAAAGTCTGTCCTCTACACTAGCCATCAAAACACCAATCTGAAAAAAAAAAAAACCCACCAATCTGATCATGCAACTCTCCTGCTTAAATCCCTCCAAGAGGCCACTGCCCATTTCCCATAGGATGAACAGCAGATGCCACCTGTCTGCCCAACATCATCCTTGGCTACCTGCCTCCACCCCAACTCCACCCACACACGCCCTCCAGGCCCAGGCACACTGAACTATTCCCAACTCCCCGGTAAGTATCAGTCTTTTCTAACTCCGTGTTTCCTCCTTGTTGCTGCTTCTCATGTCCAAACACTTCTTGACCTTTAGTTAACATGTACTGGATACTTACCACATACCAGGCTAGGCACTATGCTGCGTTCTAAGTGCGTTCCTGACTGAGACCAGATGGGATGATGGAAATCTCAGGGGAGGAATGCAATATAGATCCTGGTGACCAGAGAGAACACTCTCCCAATATCTTGGCATTATTAATCTCATTCAATCTCCCTCAATGCCCTCCATACCCCAGCTTCCAGAAAGCCCCTTCTGACCCCTCCTAGCTGGGCAGGGTATGTCCCAGCTCTGTCTCCCTCTTCAGTACCTTTCATACTCTGCTGTGTCCTGAATTCCAGTTATTTGGGTTCAAGTGTCCCTAGTAATCTGACTCTACATCCTAATGTGATGGAATAATATTTCTGATACAGAAATAGATTTCTAGCCCACATCTCTCATTCCTTCTCACCATTCAGCTGGCCACATCATGCTCTGCTCAGTGCCCCACGGAAGAGATGTGATTGCAGAAAGCAGACAATAAAGAGATGTCGTCCTGGCGCCTGGCTTTTGAGTTTCAAAAGCCTAGGCTCTAAAGGGAACAGAAGAGACCTAAGGCATAAACAAAATCTTTGGGAGAAAGCATAAGGAAAAGTAGGCTTTTCACCTCCAGATGAATAAGATTCCCTAAGCCAGGGAGAAGGAAGAGAGAGGAGGAGGGGACATTGTGAGAGTGTTGGCACAAGAGGGCTCCCAAAGGGAAGGGCCCTAAGACCCATTCTCCAGGCCAAGACCCTGGATGGGTTTCCAGGATCTGAAAACTGGAACAACTCATGCCTTGATGGTCAAATAAAATGCAGAGCAGGATCCCAGGAAATAGCTTCAAGGTGTGTCTAGGGATCCAAGGTCTCACAGGTCTTTGCAGATGGCACAGAAGTGATGGAGAGAGCCTCAGGACTGAAAAGGATTATGCAGACGGAGACAAGAAACCACTCTGGGATGACCTGCCTGCACTGCTGATGGGTGACCAGGTAGGATGACAGAAATCTCAGGGGATGGCTGCAGTTTGGACCCTGCTGACCAGAGGGAAGGCCTTCCAACATCTTGGCATTATATAAGATCCTCGGGACTCAGCTGTGACCTTTGTAGAAAGAGAAGAAATCCCAAAATGACAAAAGATTATGTTTCTGGCACGCAGGCAAAATGGGGGCTCAAAATAGAAGTAACATTCTTCTGATATTTCTTGCACATCTGAGATCTGTACCTGCTAGCCCAATTTCCTGAGCCCTCAGCTTCCTTCCCTGTTGGTGTGGACACCACAAGGGAGGTCTGTCTCACTGATTTAAATCATCACAGCACGTCTGCACGCGCACCCCTCGCTGCTCCCAGCTGCTGCAGCCTGACATGATGGGGCAAGAGCCTCAAGCAGTAGCTTCAGCGGCTCATTCCAGCTGGGCTGTCAGCCCTGCTGGATTTCCACAAGGTCCTCGTTCCTTCCCCTCCCCATACCCTTTGCCCCCAGGAAAAAAGGCAGTACAGAACCAGCAAGTACTTCATTGGAGACACAAAGACTCCACCTGCATCAACTCAGGATACCAGCCATGGCAGCCCCAGCCCCAGCCCCGGCTGTCCTGCAATCCCCTCCCAGCACAGCACAGCCCAGATGCTGCCGCTGGGAGGGAGCCCTAAGGCCAGAGTTGCTGAGCTGCTGGGAATATTCGGAGACTCAGCTTCCCCAAGATGCACTCCATTCCATCAGGGATGATGCCATGTCCTGAGATGGCTCTGTCTCCCTGGGAAGAAATCCATGTCCTCGGGGGGGGTCCACACCCCTAGGAGGGGCTCCTTGGTCCTCAGGGGGCTCTGCGGCCCGGCACAGGCTCCAGTCCTTTAGATGCAGGAGGACTCCAGGCCCTCGCGAAGTGTGCCAGGTCCCTGGAAGAGTCCATGTCCTTCAGAAAGACTCCATATCCTCAAGAAATACAACTTGTCTCTTACCCCCGAGAGGTCTCCATGCTCCCAGGAAGAACCCCAGGAAGGGCTCTCTGCCCCTAGGAAGGGTCTACGTTCCCCAAGGGCCAGCCCAAAGCCCCTCTCAGCTGGCACAGATGCTGCTGACTGTGGCCCCTCCTGGGCCCACAAGGCCCAGCTCCTCCTGCTCATTGATGCACAGCTGGTAACCGCAGCCCCGGGCCCGGGCTCCAGATGGGACTCGGCGATCAGTCTTAGCACGAGGGGGCAGCAAGAAGCCCACACTGCCAGCGATGAGCATGTGCCAAATGCTGTGGATGTAGAAGTAGTTGTCTCGGGTTTCCACAAAAGCGTAGAGCAGGACGGCACTGCCTGCAATAAGGCTGCCTGGGCACAGGTAGAAAAGCCAGCGGCGCCACGTGGGTGGGTAGCAGTGCCGGCGGCGGACGCTGCGTACTGTCTGAGGGAGGCAGAGAAGTGCGGCTCAGGAAAGTGAGGCCTTGGAGCCCTAGCCAGAGCCAGTCACTCTGAGGCTTCCCCTGAGCCCTGCTTGTGACCTGAAGGCACCTGCCAAGACTGGAGTTGGGCACTGACCATAGGATCCAAGCCCACCTTCCTTAAACTGGAAACCAGATACCCAAGTCTCTGCACCCAAGTCCTGCTGGGGCCTCCCCTCTCCCCCAGCCCTCCCAACCTTACCCAGGCTGTGGCCAAGATCCCCAGGGCAAAGAGGCTGGGTCCAAGTAGGTTCCAGAGTCCATGCCGGTCAAGCTGCAGAGCCATGGACAGCAGCATAGCCCCCAGCAAGTACAGCACCTAGAGAAAGAGGTCTCCAGGGGCTGGGCCAGGCAGTGAGAGGCACTTGGCAATGCCTCCGGGGGAGGATGGGAGTGGGTTTCACCTAGACTTTGTCCCCCGGGGCCCACTCTGGACTGACCTGCTTGACCACAGGCTGTAAACGAGCCATGGCAATGACAGTGACCCACACGGACATTAAGGAGCCCAGGAAATCACAGAACTGCAGCACATCGTAGTCCATGATGCAGAAAACCACAATGCCTGGCTGGTCACAGGCATGGTAGAACTGGGGGGAGAAAGGACAGGCATTGAGAGAACGTGGGGCAGAGGTTCAGGTCCACAAAGCTGGAGAGAGAGGCCACGAGGGAAGTCAGAGGACACAGACTAAGCAGAACTGGGAAACGTCCGACCCCACTCCTGAGAAGAATATGGTAGAGAGGCCCAGTCTCTCTCAAGCTGAATGTATTTGGCAGTCCTGACCCTCACCCTCACCTTCCTAATCTGCCTGCTTCTGGAATGTGCTGTGGAGAGCACCAGGCCAGGGGGTCCAGATCTCCCAGGCTGAGGCCAATCCTTGCCTAAATCTCCTTGTGCTCACATAGGTTGTCCCACCTATAACCTTGGCCAATCTGGACCCCAAGCCTCCACCACACCCCAGTCTCTCCTGGTAGCTCAAACTCTGAGTTATGCTTCACCTTCAGACCTTGCACTAACTGGCCCTCTGCATCCCCTCCCACCCAATGCCATGGGCAGGGACACAGTAAGAAAAGAGGCAGTCCCTAAAGCCATGGAGAAGTGCATGGCACTTTACAGCATGGGGAAGAACATGGGGAAGGGACAGTGTTCACCCACCCTACACCATGGGAAACACGGTAAAGAACAGAGTGCTGAGGAACTTAAAAGGGGGTACAGGGGACACAAATAGAACTGGAACAAGCTATACTGGGCACCCCAGTTAAGAAACCAAGGTCTCCTGTCAGCCCTTGGGTCTGTGGTCTCCACTCCTGTGCCTCTCTAAACGATGCTATCACGGCCTCGGGCAGCCTGCATCTCCTTATTTGTGAAAAGGGTTACCCAAGGAGAACTTGAATTCAAGTTCATTTTGTCTTGGAACATTTGCTGTCACCTTTCTCTAAACTTCTGAATATAATTTATGTGATTTGAGTACTTATTGATGCCAAACACTAAGACCACATATGGTTTTAAGAATATCTTTGAGGCAAAGATGACAGGAACACGCCTCCCTCTGTGTCATGTGCCTTACGAGCCCATCCAGAGAAAAGAAACTGGGTAGGACCTCTGAAAACAAAAAGCTCTGTCCGAGATCAAGCATCACAGTGGCACGCTCACTCCTGCCATCTCCTGACAGCATCCCTGCTAGATGTCAGGAAGAATAGGTTGTTATGGTGATGGAAGCAGGGTTAAGAAGAAAATCTCAAAGCTGTAATGGGAAAAGAAAAGGTTTTGACCTATATAAACTTGATCAAAATCTACTCATCGGAGCTGAGCTTCAGACATGCCAGCAGATTTTAGGGGATCAAGAAAGTTTCTTAAGATTCTGTGAATCAATCTGTTTGACCTCTGTCCCCTGCACTGTACCCCAGTGCTCAGGGAGCCATGGCTACTGAGGGCATCTCTTGATAGGAGAGACAACCCTGTGTAATTGCCAGGATTGGGCTGAAATGCATTTGGCTGAACTGAAGCTGGGGCAGGAAGGCTAAGCATTTACCATCCAAAGGTAGCCTCTGAAGTGGCCTGATCACTAACTGGAGGGGCCCTTTAGTCACTACTTTCAGCCCACATCAGTTTCTTCATCATGCTATTAATAGGCAACCCTAAGTCACAAGGGCTCTGAGCCCAAAAAAGAGGTGGCCTTACAGACTTCAGTGAGACAGGTATCCAGGCCTCTAGAGGCACGGCTCTGGGTGTGGTTGTGATATCCAGTACACAGCTGAGGACAGGGACAGTGGAGCAACACAAGTTGTCCATTCACTGACAGCAATAGGGTCTCGGTAACTTCTGAGGAGAGTGGAAGTGAAAGAAATCTAGTCTCCTATTTGAACAAGTTAAGAGTTGAGAACAAGAAGGTGGCAGTGAGGTCAGGAAGCAGAGTTCAGGGAAAAGGAGCGTTATATCCTGAACCTGTATCACAAACCATGACACTCCAATTTCAATCACATAGCAGAGCCGTTAAATAAAAGCGAGTGGGAAACGGAAGCAGGTCTGTTGTGAAAACTGACAGAATCCAGACCAGATGCAGAGGTGCCCCCAGTAGAATTCCCCCAACAGAATGGAAAAACAGACTCAAAAGTTCAGTCTCAAGAGACAAAGGATGAGGAAGAAACTGCTAATGTTTCTTTTCAACCTGTTGAAGATTGCACCTGTCATTCAAATTACAAAATTTATAACTTTAACCAACAGAGGAGAAAGGGTGAACAATATAAGAGCTATAAGATAATAAAAATTATTATTACATAATATATAATCTTTTAGTATTATTATCTTGTAGCCCTTATATTATATAATAGTATTATATAACATATAGCCCTTATGTAATATAAGGGCTATAAGATAATAATATAAGGGCTTTATATAAGAAGATAGGAGTTTAGAAAAAGAAATTTTAAAAAAACTTAGGGATATTAACTGGAATTGCAAAACCCTGGGTTCAATTCCCTCAAATTTCAAACTGCAGGTCTTAAACTTGTGTATCTATCTTCTTTCTTTTCCTTCGCTTCAGAGGTAAAGCATGTTGTCCCTTCAGGAAGAGCCTGTTTTGGAATGATTGCGTTTTAAGTGAGTATCCCAGGCTTTAGAGAGGGTTTACAAGTCTGGGGACATGGATCCTTCTCATGTATTATTAAATTGAGAAAATGAGTTCTGACTGGGAAACTCTGACTTTTCATATGGGTCCACATCAGCATTAGAATTAATGCTTGAATATGCCAAAAAGGTTTATTTTCCAATTCTTTCTTTCTCATATGTTATTAATTGGGAGTTAATTTGGTTCCTAAACAAATCAATATTTTGGTCTTTTTCTACTTCTCTACTTCCAAGACCAGATACAAGTACTACAGCTCACTGAATTACCCAATACTGTTTTATGATTTGAATTTTATTTCAAAGTATTAATTTTACTTTGCAGCTTCACCAAGCACTTGATCCATATGCCTGACTTTCAAGCATATAGAAGGAATTGGCCAAACATTTCTGGAATAAACCCTTCAACCTCAAATAAGAGCGGATATATGCCAGCAGAAAAAAAGCAAAGCTGAATCACTTAATATTGAAAACACATCTAAGAAAGTAATTAATTGAAGGCTGATTTCCTCCTAAGAATTTCCGCACTGAAAAAAAAGAGTGGGGAAAAATGGAGAAATCAGCTCTGAAGCAGATTGGAGGGAAATCATCTCTCTAATATTCTATGACTGATTATTCTCCAAGTACACTAAGAGGTCAGAGAGATTAAGGTCATAGAAAACATGTAGGAGTAGAGTCCAATTAAAATTACCGTGTGAAGTGAACAACATGATCTACACTTCACCAGTACTGATCTGGCTACTGTCACTGCTGAATGTCCGAAAATGCCATCAGTGAAGTCCATCACTGACTCCCTCACAGGGCACGATTCACTAGGGAAACCGGCCAACAACTTGTGGCAGCTTACTTCATTGAAACTTCTCAACCCTGAGGAGACAGCATCTTGTCATCATATATTCTAGGTATATATCTGTCTCTTCTACCCACAGTGCTTCAGCCTGCTTTATTATTAACGCATGGAGCAGAATCCATTATCTATTGCCATGGCACCCCATCTATCACCATCTCTAACCAGGAGACACAATTTATAGTAAATAAGGTAAAGCAAATTGCCCACCATCATAGATTTCACTGGAGTAACCATTTATCCATAACCTAGAAGCAACTGGCTCAACAGAACTCTGGAATGGGCTACTGAAGGCTGAGTCATGTACAGTGGCACCTGGGAGACTCTACCCTGAATGTCTGGAATACTCTCCTGTCTGTTTGGCACACAGTATGTGCTCACTAAGGTTTTAGTCATCTTACACTTCATGCCATGTATACCCATGGAAGAATATCCCCACACCAATAAACTTTCCCCCATGCAAAAAAAAAAAAATATATATATATATATATATATATACATACATATATACATATACACACAAAAATATGTTGCAGTATTGTCTCACTGAAAATTGTGGACTAATTTTTAGATTAGTATTCCCATTGTCAATAGCATTAAAAAGAAGTGGTAGAAATAACACAGAAATATTGGGGGATTTAAGAAGAGAAATTCAGACTACAAATTGGCTTCTATCAGTGTAATCTAATCTAATTTGACACTTTCCTCAGCTTTGCATTTTTTTTTACTTAAAAGGTAATTTTGGAAAATTATCCTAAATTGTTTTTTTCCTGTGGATTTTATATTTTTATAACATAACTACACAGTTCATCTAATGCTCCAAAACAGAGTATCCAGGCAGTACAGAATTTAAAACTGGAAATGCAAATATACTCAATCCAGGCAATCCAGGAATATTAGCACTCAAGATAGAAAGAAACCTATTGCTGTTTCTTATTTTCTGCTTCCGTTTCCCCTTGGCAACAGTCATGGAATTTTGCCAAGGGACATTGAGTATTACTTGTATGATGCTATGAGAAACAGAAGAGGTAATAAGGAGGTAGACTTGCAGCCAGGATCTCAGCGATCAGCTAGGGGGCTGCAGGGGCCCCAGGATGTCAGCTCTGTCTGGGTCTTCTGGGATCCAATAATGAGGACTCAAGTAGCCCTGCAGGACATGTGGCTTGAACCATATGGGTTTCAGGTGCAATGCCTGTTTTATTTTCCCTGTGATTTCTTGTATTTGGTTTAGTTATATTTTCTGATCTTTTGAATGGCTCTTCTTACATTTTAAGAATTTGAGAACTACTAAACCAAGGTCATAAGTTTCTCTGTATACTCCAAGAATTCTGAGAAACTGAAGTCAGTTTAGAAAAGTATCAATGCATACTCACTGTCCTGGTGCAAGGGGAACACTACAGCTCAGTGATTACATGAGAGGCTCTGGAGGCAGGCTGAGTGAGAATTTTGGTTGTACCACTCAACTCAGACCTTAGGTAAAGTATTTAAATTCATCTGCAAAAAAGGGATGATGACAATATAGTATTACAATATTATTATTATTGTATTACCTATTACCTATTATTACAATATTATTGGGGGGAGTTGATGAGCAGTGTCTGACACACAGCATGTACTCAGGAGATGTTATTTTTCTGTTAGTGTTATCTGAACTGTCCAGCTAGATACAAAGTCAAGTACTGGGTTTGTGGCCTGTTTTTTTCTTAACATATTTTACATATTTACATTTTGCATTTTAAACTCCTGAAGAACAGAGCTACCAGGCCCTGGATGGGACCTGACGCACTACTCCAAGGTTTTGAAGACAGGGAAGACTGTCATCTACTGTGCTGGTACTGATACCTTGATATGACCAACGGGCCTTTAGATGGAGGATACAGAGGAATGAAATAAGTCTAAACTAAATAATGAATGGGAAAGAGGGATACCAGGGAACCTCCCTGGGAAAACTGAATCACAAGCAGCTCTCCATTTTGGCCCTTGTGGAAAAAGAACAGGACTTAGAGCAGGACTTTAGGCAACCCCTCAGAGCCAGTATCTTTTCCTTGATCTTTGCTTATTGCCTCATTTAAGAAAGTGGAAGCTCTGTGTGTGGTGCCAGGCACTTTCGGCTCCCCCAGCATTCCTACCAGGGGAAGGTCTTTTCTGGTTGATATGCCATCAAATCCCGAAGATGAGGAGTCATCTGGTACCAAACTCTGGAGCCAATGCCCAGGATGCTTGTGCGAAGTGCAGGAGAATGGACACGCTCGCCCCACTTAGGTATTCTTACTAACTGTGAACCATGTCAGATCTGCACATAACCAAAAGGGCACTGGTGAAACAGCTATTGCTAGAGGATTTGGTGAGCAACAGTATAAAGGGTGTCTGGCAACAAAAAAAGAGAAACAGTGTCTAACATAAAATAGCATGAGGCACTGTCAGAGCAGGTCTAAAAAAGGGCCCAGTGAAACAAAATTGGGGTGTGCTTTTCTCATGAAGCTTAAGGGGCCAAGGTCTCTCTCTACGGCATGGTACAGCCCACTCATCCTCACCTGTGGAGGAGCGTCCAGGACCTAGGACATGATCCTCCGTCTCAGGACATTTGCCCCTTCTTTCTCCTAGATGATAAGTAGATATTTGTAATTTGGACATGTGTCTGATCCGTTCATGCTGGACAACAGCAAGGCATGTATTAGTTTTTAAGACATCCTTGTCACTAAAACATGAGGAAAAGTCTGGATCCACCTAAGATGTTTGCAGTGCTCATAGGTAGGCCCTATGTATCACAAGATGCCAAGAGCCCAGGGATGAGATGAAAAGATCCCTAGATGCAGCATTTCAGGGGGAATGTGTACACACTACTCCATATTGTAGGTCAGGGGTTCTCAGCCAGTGTGTTGAGGTAAAGGTCCCCTCTGCCCTTAATGTAGACAGGCAGGATGGGGGACAGCTGGAGACCCATACTGTCTCCAGTGGCTGTTACCTTAAGTCACAAACAGCGTAGTTCCTTTACCCCAAATACCTTACAAAAATTACCATGTTCTATGCATGCTATGTATATGAAACGGCCAGGAAGTACTGCTGTAGAAGCCACAGTTTAGAGGAGCCATCCTCATGCTATGAAAGTGTAGACATCCCCAAACTCGTGGAAACCACGGTGGAAATGTAGACCCTCACCCACCACCATGGATAGGGACTCGGTGAAGGCCACATACCGTGGAGAAGAACATGGTGAAGGTGTAGACAGCGGCTTCTAGCACATATCGGCTCCGAATGGCCAGGACCACGGGTGGCAAAAACATGAGGTTGCTCAGGCACAGCAGTAGTGTGGACAGGAGCTGGAATCCATAGGTGAGCGCATCCGCACTGTCGGTGCAGCCCCAGCCCCGCCACCCTGCGAGTGGGAAGGGCACAGGATGGAAGAGGACAGAAGGCAGCCATGGGTTCAGCAGACACTTCTGCTGGCGGCCTCTGGCCAAGCCCGACACCACGGCCAGGGGACACTCTGCCCCCGCTTTCTCTCCAAACCCAGCAACTCAGGCTGCCGCCTCCCTCCCGTCCCCAGCTGGGCTCCCTTGCCAGCCTGGCCGCTCACCGGCCTTGCACTCGCAGGCGGCGTACAGGTAGTTGTGCGTGCGCAGCAGCTTGCACTGGCCGTAGGGCCCGCAGTCGTCCACGCACGGGGACAGAAAGGTGCGCAGCCGCACCTCGGCCGTCGCGTTCCGGCACCGCACAAACCTGCGCACAAACTGGCCGTCACCTGGGGCCTGGGGTTGCATCCTCCCAGCCCCGCCCCGCCCCGCCCTGCACTGCTCACCGAGGCCCCACCCCGCACAGGGAGCGCAGGGTCAGGAACCAGGTCCCCGTCTGCGGGAACGGGATTCGCAGCCTGGCCACTCTGGAGGTGGCACTGACCGTGAGGAGGAAACCGGCCAGGGACTCTGAGGGGAGAAGGTAAGGGGCACTGTGGGGTCAGGACCTAAAGAACCCTCATCCACCTACCCCTACTTCCCAGACGCCCAACCACCCTTCTTCCATACCCTCCTCCCCGTTGCCCCAAACTTCCAGCCCCCTCCCATTCCCCAATTCCTCACCCCACCTTTGGAACAGGTCACTGCTGCATCCCCCTGGCTCAAGGGCACCTCGTGAGTCAGGCATCCGAACACTGTCACATTTTCCTGGTGCAGGGAGCTCTGGGCAGGGCAAGTATAAAGATGAGGCTGTCACACCCTCCAGGTCCTCCTACCACCACCTCCAAACTCCTACACCTCTCAACCCCTCCCCAGAAGCCCCTCCCGGCTGTCACTGGACACCCCATTCTGGCAGGTGCTCACCACACTGGAGGCTCCCCTACCTCCTTCATTCTTACAATAGAGAAACTGGGGAACACCACCATCTTCCACAGCAGAGATCTTTCAAAGACTGATAAGATGGCAAGGCTAATTCTTAATCTTTTCTTTGGGCAGAATGGTTTAAATTCTGTCCAGGCAAGAGAGAACACCCTCTTTCTCAGTCTATCTAATTTGTTGAGGGGAAGGGGAAGGGCACTGTTGCTGGATGTAGAAACTGGTTGTGAACAAAGGTAACTGTAAAGCTTATCAATCATCTTCACATCTTCACCTGGGCCTGAAGGCAAGAGTCATGTAAAGAAATGCACTCATCCTCAGGTAAAAAAATTCTAGGTACTGAACAGTAGTAACAGAATGCCTGTGGGATTAAATGTAGCAACTGGCTGGGATGAAAAGAAACCGGATATCCACAAGAGTAAATGGAAAGGGTTGTCCACAAGAATAAAGGTAACAGGAAGCCATAAGATCACCTCATTCAAGAAGGATTTGAGGCAGCTTATTAAATACATATAATAGGATAAAATAAATGCATGAGGGAAGTTTACAAATCAGGATAGGAAAACAAAGTCTGTCCCTAGACATTGGCCAGATATTTGATGCTGACTTCCAAGCAACCAAAGCAAAGAAGGAAATATGATGAGTGACCAGATTTGCGAGTTCACAAGATAAAAGTTAATCAATCTCAGAAGCACTGCACCCAAAAGGGTGGTTCTCAGTTAACTTTGAATCAAGGAAGCACTAAGTTATTTGCAAAAGATGAAACTGACAAGGGCTTAATTTCCAGAATATACAAACAGCTCATATGATTTAATAAGAAAAAAACCAAACCCAATTCAAAAATGGGCAGAAGACCTAAACAAACAATTCTCCTATGAAGACATATGAATGACCAATAGGCACATGAAAAAATGCTCAATATCACTAATTACCAGGGAAATGCAAATCAAAACTATAATGAGGTATCACCTCACACCAGCCAGAATGGCCATCACTCAAAAGTCCACAAATGATAAATGCTGGAGAGAGTGTCAAGAAAAGGGTCGTTTGGTACAGCCATTATGGAAAACAGTATGGAGATTCCTCAAAAGACTAAAAATAGACTTACCATATGACCCAGCAATCCCACTCCTGGGCATATACCCAGAAGGAACCCAAATTTAAAAAGACACCTGCACCCCAGTGTTCATAGCAGCACTATCTACAATAGCCAAGACATGGAAACAACCTTAATGTCCATCAACAGATGACTAGATAAAGAAGTTGTGGTATGTTTATACAATGGAATAATACTCAGCCATAAAAATGACAACATAATGCCATTTGCAGCAATATGGATGTCCCTGGAGAATGTCAAAGTGAAATAAGCCAGAAAGAGAAAGAAAAATACCATATGACATCACTCATATGTGGAATCTAAAAAAAAAAAAGACAAATGAACTTATATATAAAACAGAAACAGATTCAGACATAGAATACAGACTTGTGGTTGCCAGGAAGGAGCAGGGTGGGAAGGGATAAACTGGGAGTTCAAGAATTGCAGATACTGACATATAATATAAACAAGTTTATACTGTATAGCACAGGGAAATATATTCAATATTTTATAGTAGCTCATGGCAAAAAAGAATATAAAAATGAATATATGTATATTCATGTATGACTGAAGAATTGTGTTGTACACCAGAAATTGATACATTGTAAACTTGACTATAACTCAATAAAAAGAAATAAATTTTTTAAAAAAGCACTAAGTGCCTCCTATCCTTAACTGCCAGAGTGAATTTCATACAACTTGCTCGTAACCTCCCTCAATGCAAGCCCAGGGCAATATGCCAAATTGCCAAATTATTCAGCACAAGCCCTTCTGGTGAGAGCCAAGCAAAAATGTCCTCTAGGTATGCAGTTTTCTGATCCAAATGTCCAATTCTTGATCCAAGGGAAAAATCAAAATACTTGGAGGGAAACATCAGAGTACAGGTGCCAATATACCTTTCAGAATAAACATAACAGGCTGTCTGAGGTATGCAGCAAGTGTCAAAGCATGCAGATGGCTGGAATGTAAGCACATGCCCTTTAGAGAAAATGGACAAGAATGCAGAGAGGGATAGGGTTAGGGAGCGAGGGCTGGGCCGCTCCTCTCAGGATCCTGAGGAAGAGAGAGTATGGATGAGGCTGGCCTCTGATATAAGCTCTATGGTTTCAAGGTCAAATCAAGACTTCACTGTCATTGCCCAAAGTCATGGCAATAAGCAAACACAAAATATATACTCTTAGCCAGAACAGAATCAGAGAGCAAGATGCAAATAAGGAACATCTCAGGGTTGAAATCAGCTCTGTCCTGACCAGCAGGACCACTAGAAACTTCTGAGCCATGTCCCATAAAATACCACATCAAGCCACAGACCAGGTCTCAAGTGGGCTGATAGGAAAACTGTCCCTGCCCCAGAACTGGGGGATAGTAGAATTAAAAGGATTCCTGGCTGAGGGAACAGTAGTTAAATTATTAGATCAATGGCAACCCAAGACAATTGCCAGTGGCCTGACACAAAACTCTGCCCTTAGCCCAGTCTTATTCAACGCTGAAAATAATGACTAAGTCATGTAGAAGGCTAGCTTTTCAAGTGTGGGAGTTACACAAAACAGAGAAGACCCAAGGCCCAAACCAGTATTAGGCAATGCCTCAAAGATGGACATAAATTCTTCCACTCGGGTTAAAAAGTACACTGCAAAAACACAAGATAGGAATTGGCAGTGTTTATACGTACCAGGCTCAGGGCATGAAAATGCGTATGCCCCTTGGTTACAACTAGATAAATACAGCAGTCAACGTGGATAAGGACTAGGGGGACAATGTGGATAAGGCACTAGGGTGCCTTCTTCTATTTTCCAAGGCTTTTATGTGTGATCCTATTACTTCTATAATTAAAAAGTAAATGTATACAATTGTTTTGAAGAAAAAAAATGGAAAGGAAAAAGACCCAGAGGTCTTAGTTCACCACAAGCCTCAAGTCCCACAGTGTGAGACAGCAGCTGAAAGAGGTAACTTGATCTCAGGCTGCCTGCCACCCAGCTCAGACCACCCCAGATCACTTATTTCAGAGGCACAGTGACAAGCAGTATGAGGAGAGAGTGGAGTTTGAAGAGGAGGTTCAGCTTTGGTGAGATTGAGAGGCATCTGAAGGGCTGTTAAAATTGGATAGAGATGCAACAAATGTACCACACTAAGGTATGATGTGAGTAATACGGGAAACTGTGCAGGGAAAGAAAGGAACTCTCTGTACTTTCCTCAGTTTTTCTGTAAGCCTAAAACTTCTCTGAAAAATAAAGTCTATTTATTTAAAAAAATGGACAAGGTAGATGACTGGATATTGCTTCTGAGGTAAAACAAAGATCAGTGGGTAAAAATCCACGGAGGCAGACTTCAACAGAATGCCAAGAATACCTCTGGCAATCAGAGCTGTCTAAGTACAGACTGTATGGTCTCAAGAGGTGGTGAACTCCCATCACAGGAGATCTGCAAGAAAAAATCCACACCTGCCATAGAGAGAGGCCCTTAGTGAGTGGCAAGTTGGCCTGCAAAACTGGGAAAATCTGGACCATTCTGAGCTGCCCTGGCTTCCTAGCCCATTTGCAATAAATACTCAGGGTACATTTGTTGACCAGAATTGGGCTGATACATGGTCTCTAACCATAAAACTGGGTGAAAGCAACCTGGATAGGCTTCCTGGAGGAGGTAGGGCCCCTTCACCCCTGACATCATCTCCTTCAGGTTCCACCACAGGGCGACCTCCCCGTTCTCCACAAAGAGTACCGCATTGAGCTGGAGCTCCAGGCTGAGGACACCTCCGCTGTCCAGCACTGGCAGCAGCCTCAGGGCAAACACAGCTGGACGCTCAGGGGGGAGGGCCACGCTGGGGCCAAAGAAGATGTAGAAGTGGACGGAGAAGGTGTCCAGTTCATTGCGCAGCGTCGGGCGCACCGGCCAGCAGTGCTCGGGAGGGGATGTGGCCCCAGGCCCCTCGGCAGGGGCTCCGAGGGATGGCGGCTCTGGGGGCAGTGACTGGCTGCCCAGTGACTGGGGCATGTTCATGGCAGCTCCAGGGACCAGGGCACGGGACAGGCTGGGCTGTGGGCACTCTGTGGGGCAGAGAAAATTGGAGCTGGGGCCTGCCGCCCTCACAGCCCTGCAGCCCCACCACAAAAGATCTGAGCCAGACGGGATTTATCAAAGGGTGAGGAGGGTGACAACTAAAATCAAATGTCTCCTAGGAGTCTGGCATCTAAGTTCACAGGACAGGGTCCAGGGCCTTCCTAATGTTCACAGCTAACAGAATGTCACGTTGAGGAAATCAAGGTCATCTCTCCCTCCCCAAGGGCAATGAGAACACGGCTGAAACAGATGATGGACCCTCTTACTGACTTGCAAGGGCTTTGGCAAGGACATGACCCAGAGGTCCTAGCTGTCCCTGCCTACCCCAGGACACTGAAATAGAGATTAAATCAAGGAGAGTAATGAGGTCCCTTAGTTAGCCTCCAGTCAGGTGCCAAAAAACCATCTGAAGGCCTTCCAGCGAATGGAAGCTCCAAGTAGGAGGGCTTTGGGGAGTGTGAAGGAGCCTGGGTAGGGTCAGGGAAGTCAAGTCACAGGGACATAGCTGAGGATCAGTGAACACAGCCACTATGCCTGCCCCTTCCCAGCTACAGGTGTGGACACAGGCTGGGTGGCTGGACAGGTGTGGGGCTTCTAACCTTGCAACCGCACACACAGCTGGAAGCGGATGGTCCTGCCAGGGCCCCGCGATGGTGTCTCCACACGCACGTAGACCCAGTGCCCCCAGGGGGGTAGTGCCAGCTCCAGCTGGCATACCGATGTACCTCCACAGGCCACAGAGCTTGAGTTGTGCAGGGGTGGGGCCTTGGGACGTAGGCGCAGTGTCAGGGGGCAGGCAGATGCCCCTCGGCCCCCCACACACACCAGCTGTGCTGAAACCCTGTAAGTGAAGCTGGGCACAAAGACCCTGGGCAGAGGGGAGGTTGGGGGTAAGAAAAGACAGGGTACAGAGAGGTGAGAGGGACACAGGATGAGGGAAACACTGGGAAGAAGGGGTCATGGAGAGGTAAGGGACACAGGAGAGCAGGAGAACTTTTGGGGGTCTTCCCCTCTGTCCTGGGAGAGAGGGAGGGAGGGTCAGGCCAGCCCTCGGGCTCTGGGTGGCGCAGCAGTCCAGGCTGGCTGGAGGGAGAGCAGGAACAGCAGGCAGGCTAAGAAGCCAAAAGAACCTTGTTCCCTTTTTGAGGTCAGGGAAGGAAGACAGGAAGGGCCCGGTTTAGGGGAGCATTCCACTTACTTGTACAGGGCTGAGCGATTGTGGGGGGAGAGGGTTTGTTCTGAGGGTCGCCCAGGCACCAACACGGCAACGTCCAGCAAACGCCGGACAATCAGCTGCGGCTGAAGGAGGTACTGACACTCATCCTGTAGACCCTGAGACAAAAGCAGGGGTGATAGGAGGGGAGAGACAGAAAGGTGCACTAAAGCAAGGCAAACAGCCTGCTGAGGACGGGGACAAACCTCCTCCAGCCCTCCTGCTTCTGGGGCTATGACTGCGGTCTCTCTAAGCTCTGGGTCCTTCCTAGGTCTGCAGGATCTGTTGTGACCCTCAGCACTGGCTGAGGTTTAGAGACACAAAACCAGGCCCTCCTGACAATCAGGCCCTGCCTACCCTCCTCCAACCCAATCCCTCCTCCTGAGTATCCCTGGACAGACCCTCAAGGTAATTCTGAACCACTCCATTCCCTGACCAAGCCCTCAGGAACGCAGAGCACTAGCACTCCTTGAGCATAGGAAAGCTCCTTAAAGGCCTCCAGTCCAAACCTCCCTCCTCCCCCAGCTGAATCTTTCATTTCCTTTATTCTCCACCTGCCCCTCCCAAGTGCTTGTCCAGCCTCTACTTAAACACCCCCAGGAAAGAGCCATTCTACCTCCCAGGCAATCTCCAGACTATAAGCAACCCGAGAACAGAAACCTGGTCTGCCAGACACAGAGCCTAATGTAAAGTGCACCCTTCACAGATGAACATTTGCTGAATAAATGAATCAACCCAGCTCGGGGCAGCTCTGACCTTTATGAAGCAGAGCCTATCTTCTGTCTCCCTTCCCACCACTCTGCCTCATGGGCCCCCAGATGCATCTGCTCCTTCTGCCCCAGTCTGGGTTTCTTCTGTTACTGGAGGAGAACAGCCACGTCTCCCTAGCACTGGATAGAATCCCTAGCACTTCTGGATAGAATCCCTAGCACTTCTCTACTCAGGTGACACCACCAGGCCCAGGCAGCCACAGCATTTTCAGGGAGCACAGTCCCATTTGTTCCAGCTCCTCTTCTGCAGCCTTTGCAGCAATCTGGGCCCTCGATACTAGCAGTTCAGGGGAAGAGGGGCTCCTGATTAGGCTTCTCTCATCTTCTGAACAAATGGCCTTATGCCCAATAAACCAGAGGCTATTGTTCACTTACGTGGTTATTCTTACCAAGACATACCATTAACCTTGTTCGGGGACAAAGATCCCAGGCTCTGACATCCCACTGAGTTCCCTGCCATGGAATAAGCCAGCCAAGGCATGTCTGCTGACTTCTAGCAAAGTTCCACAAGGCTGGAAAGAGGCCTTGATGGATGCCATGCTGCAACATCTCATTATCCTCTGCCTTCTGCATCACTGCATCCCCAATGCCCAACACACCACCTGGCATACACTCGGTGCTAGAAAATATCTATTGAGTTAAAGAACTGGTCTCAAAAAGAGGGTCCCTTCAGAGAGCTCCTGAACCCATCTAGTTACTCAGAGACCTCCATCTCTGCTTTCCAAAGCAAATGTCCCTCATCTTTGATATCAAATACTAAAAACCAGAAATACTCTCACAAGTTATTTCATTGACCCCACTTCCTAAGGTCAGGAATCACTACCATAATAATCTTGCTGTGAATGATCCCCAAGGCTGAGGACTCACACTCAGAAAATGGCCCATTTCCTTACTAGACAGTCCAGAGGGAAGAAACACTTTGTTCCACATTTTGCTTGCTGTTGGCCTAACTAAAGGATAGTGGACAGGACCTCTCTGGTTAACAAGTGCTCCTTCCTTAAACTGTATAATGTGCACATCCAACTCCCTTCTTATAGATAGGAGCATTCAGTCAGTGGAGAGCAGGGAAGATGCAGTGACCTTCACCCTGTACTGGGGCCACAGAAAGGGCACCAGAAGTCAGATCCTCAAGAGCTGCCATGGCAGAAGCCAAGTGAGAGAATCCAAACTCAGTCAACATCCCTTGTCATGAAAGGAACAGCGCTAAAACAAGGAAGCTTGAGAAACTAAGAGGGCCAAAAGTAAGAAGGGGAGTGAGAAGCAATCTGAAAGAAGCTGGAGTGGAAGGCCTTAGATTGGTTCCTAGACTGTCCTAGTATGGGTGGGCTGGATGTCTTCAGAAAAGTCTGAGCCTCTGGGTGAGGTGTGCAGACTGAAGATGCCCAAAGACACCTGGCCTTCTCTGTGGGAATATTTCAGTACTTAGCACTGCCCCAGCCCACAGTCAGCCAGCACCAATCAACATGGAAGTAAATAATCGCTGGACAGACTTCAGGGGGCAAGAGTGGAAGCAGGGAGTCCACTTAGGAGGTTACTGTGGTGGTCCAGCAGAAGGCTGAGGGGAGGTGTGTTAAGGGCAGAAATAGAGTAGGTGCACCCAGTGCATGCTTTAGTAGTACGGTCAACAAGACTTTCCCTATAGATCAGTTGTGTGGAAATAAGAGAAAAAAGGAGAATAAAGTATGACACCTAAATCTGGGGCTTGAGCAAATGGTAAATGGCAGTGCCATTTACTGAGAAGAAGATTAGAGAAAGAAGAGGCTTAGACTGGGAGACGTGAACTAGCAATCAAAGAGATTTTTACATTAGTCTCTGGATATGTACTTGCTAAGTCTGAGATGGGCCTTAGGCATCCAATCGGAAATGCCAAGCAAGCCATCGAATATGAAGTCTGAGACTCAAAGAAATTAGGACCTTCTCAATATACTTGGAAAACATGAACTTATAGGTAGTATTTAAAACCACGGTGCTGGAGACACCTAGCAAGAGAATGGAGAAATAAAAAGGAGTTTTCCCAAGACCAAGCTTTGGGGCATCACAACATGAATAAGATCAAGCAGAGGAGAAGCCAGGAAAGGAGACAGAGGAGTGGGTGGTGGGCAGGAGGAAAACCAGGACAGTGCTGTAAAGTCACAAAGGCCAAGAGGAGAAACTGTTTCAAGACGGAACGGGTAATATGAGTAACTAGGTAACAGCTGGTTACTAGTTACCTCTGGAAAGGGGACGTGGGGACTAAACGGGGACCAAGGGAAGAGGAAAACTTACTTTTCACTGTATGCCTTTTGTACCTTTCGAATGTTGTATCAGGTGCATATATTACCTATTTGAAATACAAATAAAATAATTTAGAAGGAGGAAGAAGAGCAGAAGGAAGACTGCTAGCAGACTTTAACCACAACACTTGAGATACTGAGCCGCGCTTGGTCCTAGCTGGTGGATTCAACCGAATCTTCTCTTCTGTACAATCGGCTTCTTTGCTTTCCTCACTGTTGTTTTCATTATTTATCTGCTTTTATTTACTTTCAAATCTTGGAGCTGGGAAGAGGAAGCACTCAACGAGAACTGTGCCCCAGGCATTTGGAGAACATATTCCTAATAAGCCATTTGGGTGCCAGATGTTACCCACAACCCAAAGGCCAGCCCTTCAGGGCAGACTGGCAGCTGGACACCACAGGGTGCACATATGCTCCAACACAGGAAACACAAGGAGACGGAGGGCATGGGTCAAGACAGAAGGGGTTGACAGAAATAAGAAGAAAAGGAAAGGAGGAGAAACGAGATCAGTTTTAGGCAACATGAGTTTGAGAAAATGGCAAAGGGGCAAAAAATATTTGCCAGGCCCCAACAATGTGCCAGGCTCTGTGCTGGACGCTAGGAATACAGTCGTGAATAACACAGACACAGGGGCCAGAGCTCAGGAAAGCGCTGCACCAGATAAGTCACTTCCCTTTTACAACCTCATAAGGCTTCCCAGTCACTCTCAGGATAAAGTTCAAGCTTCTAGGTCCTTTATGATCTGCCCTCTGTTCACCCCTCCAGCTCCCTCACTCATCCCAACAACCGCCCCACACTGAACCACTTCAGTTCTCCCTTCTCAGCTTTAGCCCATGCTACTCCTACCACCTGGAGTGCCCTTCCCAGCTTTCTCAACATCAGGCCTCACTTCCTAACAGTTTCCTAAAACCACTTCTCCACCACACTACCGAGCTGAGGCATCCACCTCTCCTTTGTCCTCCTAAAATATCTCACTAATATACATCTTATTTATCTGTGTCCCTAGCATCCAACCCAGGGCCTGGAACAAAGCAGGTGCTCAAAGACTAAGGTCTAGTGGGAGGCCTGAACTCATCCCAAAGCTAAGGAGGCCCCTAGAAACAGTGCTGCCTTCTTATTGCCAGGACTCTTCAGTCCCTACCCAAGGATATCCCTGAACCCACACCACTTCCTTTGTTGGCCAAGTCCCATGGGAAGTCAGAACCATGGTACAAGGAGGAGACAAGTTGAGAGACAGAGCCCTGGAGAAGCGCTCTGGACAATCCACTCACAGGCTTGAGTCTAGGGAATCAACCAGAGAACTTAAGAATACTTAGAGGCCCACAGAATATTCCAAATGGTAATCAAATTCTTAGAGGAATCACAAAGAAGATCCTTGCCCCCTAACCTCCAGAACAGGCCTGAATGGAGAGCTATGTCTCTCAGGGGGTTCACTCATGGCAAGGGAATTATGCCCTCTTCTCTCTAATCTCACTGCGCCCCCGGGATCTCTGCTGGCTAGGACTCCAGCTTGCGGTACCCAGTTCCCCAGGCCCCACTGCTATATCTAGATGCAAATGGGCCTGATCTGACCTCTCCTAACCAGGCTTCAGCTCCCATGATCCTAGCCCTGGCCTAGGCACCAGGCTGGTCCCACTCAATCAGAAAGGTTTTTGGATAACTAAAGCACGGCTTCAGAAGGATTTTCTCTTCTCGCAAAGAAAGTCAAAGATCAGAGTTGGGATCAGGAACAAGGTCTTTGGAATTTGGCCACAGACCTAAGCAGATATCCCTCCCAATAAAGGAACACTTGATTCTGATGAGAGTCAAGAACCTAGAACCCAGAGCCATTTCCAGGTGAGCTCCCAACATGTTCTCACTGGAGAGTTCCCAGGCCTGGACAGGAAGTTCTCCTGCACATCACTCCCAGGAAAAGCAGGTCTACCACTGAGCCCTAGAGATGCTCCCTCAGCCTGAGTTTCCAACTTTGCCCACAGCAGTGCCTGTACACTTGTCCCTGTGTAAATCTCAGCTCACTCAAAAGCATTATAACACCCTGGAACGCTGGGCTATTGCAAGAGGAGAGGGGAGTCCGACACAGTCACAGGGCCTGAGCCCTCAAGGAACTCACCCTGAAGAGAGACATGCGGGTCAAAACTTCACCTGACTGGGAATTTCTGCCCCTCCCAATTCTCAATGGCCAAACTCCACCCATTTTCTAGTTCTTCAGGTCCTGTTCTTTAAATCCAGCTCAGCTCATGCTGGGTCCTTCGCCCTGACCACTGGCTCCACACACATGGCCATCCCACTCTGACATGGCCACCTCATCACATCCTCCCTCCCCACCAGGGGACAAGAGTAAGCAACCTTTAGATCTTCTCACTGTAACAGAGTGGTCTAGCCTGCCCAGTACATGGGAATGGCAGGAAAATTCTGTGGCATTTCCTTCCCTCCAAACTAGAATGGAGAAGTAGCCTGACCTTAACCCTGTAACACTCCAGACTTTAATAAACTCTGCTCTATGAAATCACTGCCAATATTTGGGGTAAAGAGAGGCAATAGCTGGTTGGACACCAGTTGCTTAAAATCTCCCTTTAACAGTAAAGGGTTTCCCTGCCCCAGAGTTCCCTTATCATCTTCCATAAGGCGCAGGGAACTGAAATTAGGATAGATGAGGAATGTATTCTCATGTATTCTCCCAGATGGACTAACAACTGGGCTGCAACCTACAAGAGTCCGCAGAGCTATCACCAAGATGTAGAGAAAGACTAGTCCTGGGTTTGTGCCGCAGCATCTGACCAGTCCCTGGCTGGCTTCTGATCACCTTGATTAACCCTGCGCCTTCCAATAGGAAGGGATACCACTTCCCAGGGCTGGGGCCTCTGATTGACTCTGGACTTTCCCTTCAGCTTACCTGAACCCACTATGTCCTCTAAGGTTCCCAAACTGCCTCCTGCAGGTCACGGCCTCTGGCCTACCAGATGACCTGCTGACCCCTAGCTATGCCTCACCCCAGCCACCCTCATGCTGTTGCCCACACTGGCACAAGGCTGGTCTGCCAGGTAGCCCAGAGATGGAGAAGCAGCTCTGGCCCCTCTTGTCTGGACAGCATCAACCCACCTTGACAGAGATGTGACCGTGGGCCTGGGGAAGGTGGGCAGCCAAGAACCAGTCCCCCGGTAAGGGGCTGCTGACGTTAAAGATGCCGGAGGTGCGGTTGGGCAGTGTCCAGCTGAGAGTCAGTGAGAAAACCCCAGGCACAGCTGTGTCCCCTGGGAAGTGTGTGTGCAAGGGATTGATGACAGGGGGTGCCCCGGACCGGAAATACCTGGAGGACCAGAATGAAGAGAAGAGGAAAGCAGGCAATGGGGTGGGGGGCAGGAAATGGGGGAGAGAAAAGAGCACTGTCACTCATCACCAGTAAAACAAGTGGATTCTCCAGACTGACGCATGCAATAAAGTGGGTCCAGGTCAGGAGTCAGAACATAAAAGGCAAGATGTCAGCTCAAGCACTCATACAGTCATACAGCAGTCAGGAATCGTCAGGAGACAGAGGTCTTGGCCCTCACTCAGTCATACTTCAGTCTGGACAAGTGTCAGGGTCAGAAGGTCAGTTTAGATACTCATGAAGTCACATTCTAGTTTGGAAAGTGGCCTGGGGTTGGAAGTGGGGGTCAGGAGGTTAACTCAGACACTCACACAGTCACACTTTGGTCTGGGCAGTGGTCCCCAAAGGTTCCCCCCTGCTCTTTGAAGATGATGAGGTTCCAAACAGCCAGGAATGTGTCTTCAGGAACATGGAAGTGGAAGAGCTCGGTGCTGGCAAAGGAGCGGAAAGGACTCAGCTTGCGGGGTGAGCAGGTGGAGTAGTCAGTCAGGAAGAGGCCTCCTGGGGAGCAGGCGGAAGAGAGAGGAGCAAAGTAGGACAGGCCTTCGCCAGAAAGCCCCAGGCATACCAGTCCTCCCCACACACAGCACCAACTCAACAAATGCTCTCCTCTGAGCCAGGAACCGAGTCTCCTGCCGCCCCCATTATCTGCTTTAATCCTGACAATGACCTCGGGGAAAATGACCTCTTTTTACAGATAAGGAAACTGAGGCTCAAACCTAGACCAAACTGAGGATTCAAACCTTGATCTGTCTAAATCCAAAACCAGGACTCTTTTTTTGACCCCACAGCTGCCCCTTCACTTAGGAGCCATTGTTCTCTTTTAATATGCCTAACAAAACAAAGGTGTGGATGGGGGGCTGGTGCGCGCTGGCATGGGCTCCTAGGCTACTGAGCATTCGGGAACTCCACCTGTGGGCTTGCGCTTCAGCATGGAACTGTGAAACTTCCTTGTTTATTTTCTTCCCCTCTCTGTTCCCCTGCGGTCAGGAGACGTAAAAACCCTCAGAAGCTTCACAAGAGCTGCCTGTATACTGGCTCAGGGCAGTGGTAGGGAGGGGCGAGTGTGGTGAGGCTCCAAGGGGCCTGCTTGGGTGGCAGAGGCAAGGACAGGAGCTGGCAGGCCACCACAAGAGCCCCCAGGAGAAGGGGAAAGGAGAGTCAGCAAGGCCTCTGGGATTCAGATGGAGCAGCCGGGGGCGCTTCCCGGAGGGAGGCCCCGTGAGGCAGTCAATCGGTGAGCCACTGGAATCTCGGACCACCTGGGAATACTCATATTCAGAGCAGGCCAGGGTTGGCAGATTGGGAGGAAGTGGTCCCCTGCAGCTGAAAAGCCAAGATACCTGATCATGGTTGTTAGGAGCAGAGCCCAGTGGCCAGGAAAGTCTGGTGAAAGCAGCTACCAGGCAAACACATAGGGACCAGGACTGCTGTGGCAGTGAAAAGAACGCAGCAGCTTAGCTGGATAGAAGAGAGCCCCAAATGGCAGGCAAAGCTCTAGGGAATCTGACAGCTCTGGAGACTTAAGACCAGCCCCAGCAAAGCCCAGAAAGATGTCCCCAGAACATATGAGAAGGTTGGAAACTCAAGCCGCTTCAGAACAAGAGTAGGGGCATCAGGTAGGGGTGACCCTGAAGCCAAGTTTCCAGCCAAGTAGTAAATACCCACAGGCTTGCTTATTCTGACCATCTACCCCCTGGAGATGGGAGATGTAACTCCAAAACTGAGGTATTTGAAATAACAGAGAAAGGACATCTGGAAAGGGAGGCTGCTGAGGAGGGAACATGGGACAAGGTTGGCCCCACTGAACTACAGCAACCTCAAGTCACCCTGCAGAGTTGTCCTATGCAGGTAGAGATCACTGGCCCTAGATTGGCCTGTGCTCATCTTCAAAGGCCATGGGTACATCCAAGGACTAGCCTGCCCAATTCAGATCACACAATCTGTCTCAATGTCAGCAAGGAAGACCTGCCACCTTGCAAGCTAAGCACTGCCCAGGAACTGGAGAGGCTCACAGGGCAGTGGTGATGTACCCAAGAGGGATGACAGGAAACGAACCAACTGATGAGGAAAGTAGGTTTCCTAGGAGCCCTGGCTGGGAGGCAGAAAGCTGAGGGCTGAATAACCTGGACACTACAGTCACAGGAAAGCACAGGTGCTAGTGCACCCCCTGCTGGAGTCAGGGAAGGGCTTCTCCTCCTCAAAGCTGGGACCAGGGATAGGTCACCAGACGGGCCACTGCTACTGCTGGGAATAAACGTTGGCCAGGCCCCCAGCGCAGATGCTCAGAGAGCTGGTGGTGAAAGCAGCTAATGACCTTTGGGAAACAATGGACAGACGTGCACAAAGAGCCCTGTGATGAAAAGAACAAGGCATGGACTGGAGAATTGGGGAACTAGTTACACCACCTCAAAGCAGCAAGGGGCTACAGAGGTCACAGGATAGGCTGGTGGGAAAAGTGAATAAAAAGCAGCTGGGCTTGCTGGAAGGAACATAGACGTTCTGAGGGCAGATGTTTGAGAAAGCGAACACAGCCCCATTCACTCCAAGCTTTGGTTCAGGGTTTCACTAGGGCCTCCAGAGCTGGGTCCCAGAGGAAGCACCTAACCAAGCTCAGATGAACCTGTCCTGAATGTGCCAGTACTTCCGGATGAGGCCAGGGTGATTCTCCATCACCACCTCTGTCTCTGTCTCTCTCTCTCTCTCTCTCTCTCTCACACACACACACACATACACACAAGCTGAAGCTGGTCCTGCTAGTCACAGCACACAATAGAGCAAAAGGTCATTTCCTATAATGGCAAGGCATTCCTGGGTTATGCAACTGCAGTCAGACAAGTCTAAGGAAAAGACTGAGGATTTACTGAGGCTGACTGTGCTATCATGGTCCTGTGACACTGCCAGCCTCTCCTCAGGCAAAACCTATCACCACCACCAGGTCACAGAGCACCCCTGCAGGCCAGCGACTAGTAACAGCAGTCAGGGCAGCCCTGCCTGCTGTGAGGCCTAGTCAGTGCTCTTTTCCAACCTCATTACAATCCTCCCGAAGCACTTGAACCTGCTCCTGGACAGTTCTGTTTTAATCCACACCTCTCAACTTCCTACAACTCCGTGGCTGTCAGTCACCCTGCTCTCCTAGTCAGCCCAGTGTTAGCTCAATGGGCTCATGAACAAAGGAGCTGCGGGGACAGGGATGGAAGCTATTAATTGGGCTCAACAGAATGGACTCCCTCTCACCCCAATTGAAAAACTGACCTGGCTGGGGGCGGATGGGTTATTTATGTATGTTGTGGGAGGCATCCAGCATTGCCTCCAACCAAGGAAGGGATCATCCACTTGGAAGGTGACGCTTTAGTAATCTGTCTACAGGAGGAGCAAGAAGAGCTGAAAAGGAGCATGCATAGGCCACAACATGTAGCTCCCCTCACACAACAACACAGGCACTAAGGACACATGGGCTCACATGCACCCCACACAACACACACGTGCCTACGCTCACCAACCCACAAGCATATACACACACTGCACATGCCCAGCATTCCCACAGACCCCTCAGGTACACACACAGACACATAAGTGCCCAGATAACAGTGAGCACCCACATAGAGCTTGCACATCTCTGCAGGGGCAGCAAGCTTTAGTGTGCATCGATCTCCTCAACCTCGGGCACTGAACCAGGGCCCCAGAGCTCACTGAAATGCAGCCCCCATCCCCAGTTGCTCTGCTAGTTGTTACTGCTGAAGACTTCTTGGGTACATCTTCATCCCATCTAGAGAGCCACCCACCAGAGATGGCTGGGGGTTGGGGCTATGAAGACTCTCTATTACAGAGTGATCTTTATGGCACATCTCCTACAGCCAGGACCCCCTCCTCCTCCCACATTCCACCCATCAGGAAGTTGGGTATCCCCCTCTCCTATTAGAGTCACTTCCTCACTGGATGGTGGCCCTGGGCTGACAACTGGCAAATGAGGAGTTTGTGGATGAAGCCCCCTTGTGGGCAGACAGGGGAGAGGATAGGCTATGCTTTGAGTCTTTCTGCACTTAGATCTGTTTTCCTATTGCAGTGGGGGGGAAAAAAATCCACTAGTATGGAATAGGAATTAGGAAAACTTTTTCCAGCGCCAGACCTGCCATTGACCAGCTGTATGACCTTGGGCAAACTGATCTCTTGCTGAGCCTCAATTTCTCCATCTGTAAAATGGTCTCCAAGTTTCAACCCTGCTCTAAAAGTGTCAGGAATTATTCCTAGGCAAATTAAGCTTATTTGAAAGGAGGCTTGTGACAAGAGTTAAACTCATAATGGCAACTAATCCACGTCCATCTGTTTGCTACACATTTATCTTCAAAAGAGCTTTCTCAACCTGTTTTAATGCATGCCCAGTACCTCAAAGGGTTAGTCCAGATCTTCCCACATGGACTAGAGGCTCTCTGCTGGGGGACTATGTCTCCCCCATCAAACTTCATGAGCAGGAGCAAAGCCCTCAAGACTTTCTTGGAAAAGCAAGGGTCAAAGTGGGGACAGGATGGACGCCAAGAAAGAAAACCTTGGAGTCTCTGTCTTTGGGACTATCAGCCACCTGCTGAGCCTCAAATCAGTTACCGCTCTTCTGACCCTCCTGATTCCTCTCAGTTATGTAAGACTTCTCTCCTCCCTACTCCTCTCTTCTTCGCCAGTGATCTAGTTGCCCAGGTCCCACCTCTGATGAATCCCTCCAGTCCACCCGTCCCTGCCAGAACCCCATCCCTGCCTCAGTCTTTCCTGTTTCTGCACTCACCAGCCCCTGGGCCAAGGACAGACAACAGCAACAGCAGCAATAAGGCTGGTGGCAGCTGGAGCCCAGACCTGAGTCGAGGCTGGGAGAGGGGCAGGGTATGAGAGAGAGGGGTGGGCAGTGGGAGAGATCTGGGTAAACACAGAGATGAGGGCAAAGGCTGGGACACAGAGTTGGGCTGGGCTGGACACTGGGGCTTGTACAAGGGCAGGGGATGTGATGGAAGGAGGGGCTGTGGTGGGGACTGGAGCAAAGGCAAGGGTTGGGCCCCAGGCTTAAGCAAATATTGTGAATGGGGTTGGGACAGGGGCTGGGCTGGGATTTGGGAAAAGTGGTGAGGCAGGGGCAGGGGCTGGGATGGGCGCCAGGCCAGGGACTGGGATTGGGACTGGAAGGGGAACCTAAGTTGGGACCCGAATCTGGGCATTCGCTGGGACCCAGGCCGGAGCTGGACCTGATGTGGAAAGCGGGGCGAGGGCGGGGTCGGGGGCCAAGGGCCTGGATGAGGATAGGGACAAGGGGCCGGGACAAGGGGCTGGGGCCATGGCCCGGGGAGGGGCGGGGC